CTCTCCCTTTCTCCCTCTCTCCCTTTCTCCCTCCTCTCTCTCTCAATCTTGCTGTCTTTTACTGCCGTGAATATTTACCCCTCTACCATGTGCCACCCTTTCTTGGAGCCTGCTGGTTATGGACTGAAACCTCAACAAACTGTGAGCTAAATAAACTGTTCCCCCTTTAACTTTGGGTGTCAGGTATTTTGTCTCAGCAATGAGAGAAAAGTAGCTAAGATATCAGTCTTCCTAAGAACCTGAAGACTGCTCACTGGGCCACCTCTGTACGTTAGGGCACCTTTGATGTAGCCTCTTCCCAACAGATGTTGGCTGGATTTCAATCCTTTTCACTTGCCTGAGAGTCTTTCTGCAGAGTATAACCAGCACAGCTGTGCATGGAGTCCCTGGTCCCCTCTGCCTGTATAGGAATAGTCATTGTTTTCCATGGTGTTTCATTAAGGCCAATGAATCAGCTGAAGTTTCCATGCTCTCCACTGAAGAGGTTTAATCTGAAAGCTAGATAAGACAGGAAAGGGTCTTAGACACTTAGGACCTACAAAATGGGGAAGATTCTTGGTTACCAGAATTGTAGCTCAAATACCTGTCACAATAGCCTGCAACTTTCCCATACTGTGGACATAAGTTGGCATACTGGCAGATGTAATTTACTTATCTTTGAAAAAGTGTTATTGCCCAATTGTCTTATCAAGATCTCTTTTTTTGGAGTAGGATGTTAAGTAGGAGTAAGGATTAGATGAATTAAATAAAAACAGAAGATATAAAGCTATGTCTTAGGTATTCTGAAATCCCTTTGTTGATCATTTGTTCACCATCTTTGTATTAAGTACTTATTGTACGAAAGGAACTCTGCCAGATGCTGGGATACAGGAGCTACACAGTTGATGTAGTAGAAGAGAGTAAGAATAAACAAAGAATCCCACAAATACATATAATTATAAGTTATATAAACATTCCATGAATGAAAAGTACTCACTGCCCTTTGAGGACAGGTCTGTGACTCACTGGTCTTGGTTTCTCTAATTCCTGTTATTTAGACGGCTAAATACATATTTATAGAATTGATGTGTAGATAGACTACTACATGAAAGAAAGTTTGCGCAGCATAACAATTCTCAGAAGACACACCACTAATAAGTGGTTGTGAATGTTGAGAGCCATTAGTTCTGAGCAGCTATCCTACCTTGGTCATTAACTTACTTGAAAGGTCAGGCTATGAGCTCTCTCTGCAGGTCAGCTGCAATTAAGAGTGTTTGCTATTCTCTGAAATTCTTAAACAGAAAATACCTTCCTGGAAAGCAGATAATTTAAATAGTCTATTGA